ACCCGGAATTGTGAGATATGAACTTGGAATTGTGGGATGTGAACTCGGAATTGCGAGATGTGAAACCGGAATTGTGAGATGAACTCAGTATTGCGGGATATGAACTCAGTATTGCGGGATATGAACTCAAAATTGTGAGATGAACTCGAAATTGTGAGATATGAACTCGGAATTGTGAGATATGAACTCAGAATTGTGGGATGTAAACTCGGAATTGTGGGATGTGAACTCGGAATTGCGAGATGTGAACCCGGAATTGTTAGATTAACTCCGTATTGCGGGATATGAATTCAAAATTGTGGGATATGAACTCAAAATTGTGAGACATGAACTCGAAATTGTGAGATCAACTCGAAATTGTGAGACATGAACTCGGAATCGTGATATATGAACTCGGAATTGCGGGATGTGAAATCGGAATTGCGAGATGTGAACCCGGAATTATGAGATATGAACTCGGAATTGCGGGATGTGAACTCGGAATTGCGAAATACAAACTTAGGATTGTGGGATATGAATTCAAAATTGCAGGATATGAACTCGTAATTGTGAGATGTTAATTCAGAATTGTGAAATGTGAACTCAGGATTACGGGATATGAACTCAGATATGATATTGATATTGAGGGATATGTCTTCGCTTTCACTCAAGTGTGTTTTTATCTAGATACTAGAGGGATGTTTTTCCTCAGTACTCATATTTGGAGGGTATTTTCTGTGTATGTTTGACACCCAGCAAACACACACTTGAGTTTGTTTACACCTGAGGTGAGATGCTGAACACACACACACACAGCAGATTTTCACACAGAAGTCTCAGCTGTGACCAGCGACTAGAGGAGCTGTTCTCACCTCACACACACACACACACACACACACACACGTGTGATGCAGCGCAAGGAGCTGGAGGACAGAACTGACTGACTGATGGTGCCGCTTTCTCACAGTGTGTTTGTCATTCATATGTATTGTCTTCAGTGCTGGGTAGTAACTGATTACATGTAATATGGAATACATAATCAGATTCCAAGAATTAAGTACTTGTAATTAGATTACATTTTAAAATACTCAAAATCAGATTACAGTTACTTTTTATGGATTACATATCACAATATGGCAGTTAATTATGTATAATTTATTGATTCAAGTAAAAAAACATTTCTTTTTCAGGTGGCTACGATTACAGAAAAACAATACATTTTAATTAGTATTTGAATGATCACTCAATTATTAATTTAACCATGTATTAACTGTCTTTGTAAATGAATTTTTGCATTTTAATGTGTTTTAAAGACCACACATGCATGCCAAATTGACTGCATTAGTGTGGTAAAGTTAGTTTAATTTTGTGAATTATATATCTGAATTATATTTGATTCCAAAATATAACCCCCGAGATTTCAACATTTTACAACGTATTTGCACGTTTACTGTTCTCTGATGTCAGTTAATCTAAAAGTAATCACAAAGTAGTTGGACTGCATTACCTAATATATGTAATCCACATTATGTTGCTAACTACAATTTTCCTCATGTAATTTGTTATCAGTAATGCACTACAATGTCTAAGTAATCTACCCAGCACTGATTGTCTTATTAAGCAGGACTCTGTAGAACGCCACTGAATGAAGAACGAAACGTCTGTCTGACAAAAACAGCGTAACAGTGTCATAGTCAATGTCTGACTTCATTGCAAAAGAGCCGCGTGAACATTCTGCTAAATATCTCTTGATGTGATCGACTGAAGAAAGACACGGGTGAGTGAATGATCGCTGAATCGTCATTGTTTGGAGTTAAACTGACTGTGAGTTGAGTGTCTAAATATGTTAGATGACTATTAGCCTTATCATTTGGATTTCATAGTGTTATTACAATCACAGTTACAAGTTAAGATGAACGCAGGTGAGTCAAATAATGTTTAAAATTAGTTTTTTCATCATTTTCTGTAATTGTTAATTGAATAATACGTAATACGTGGTCCAGAATTCATCAAGATGCTCGACTTTGTTTATTTGTATAGGACAAAAAAAAACACTAAAAGCAACGCATTGTACGTAGAGAATAAAGCACAAGCTAATTTGCATCTCTGGTCCCTAGATAGTTTTTTAAAAAACTAACTTAACTGAGCATATAAAAATATACAAACATATAAGATTTAAGATTTCATCCAACCCTGATGACATGCAACAAAAAGGCATAATTAAAATAGAAAGCATGCACATTTATTAAATATTTAGCTATAAATATATATAAGTTGAGCATCTTAATATATATATATAGCTACTTTTTAAAATAATTGCAATTTTAATTATATATAATACACTATGTATTATATGTTGTATAGTTGCGTAGTATATAATATTTATTAGTGCTGTCAAACGATTAATCGCATCCAAATATATTTTTTTACAAAATATATGTGTGCTGTGTATATTTATTATATATTATCTATAAATACACAAACATACATGTATATATTTTTTAGATATTTACATGTGTG